GAAGTACGTCACTGTAACATCTGCAAGACAAGGCGCTCTGTAGCAACCAGATGGGGTCGGGGCAAAACAGACATAATAAAACAGCGAGAAGACAAGTAGAAAAGAGAGACAGAAGAAAACAGGGAGAAGACAAGTAGAAAAGACAGACAGAAGAAAGCAGCCAGAAGATAATATGTGGAAAGGACATACAGAAGAAAACAACGAAAAGACAAGTAGAAAAGACAGGAGGTGAGCACAAGGTAGTACTGTATGTCAGCCCTGTACTACCGAGGTTCTCCTCGGCGGCACAGAATGTCGGCGGTCACAAACTTCAGAAACGTACCTCCGACCAGCTCTTCAAACGTACTCAACCCAAAAATTTAATGGTAGTATTTTTCCTTGCAGTTGCCGGATCTGTGGTATCGATTGCGTATATGCTCGAGAAATATTTTGTCGAAACGAGAAATATTTTGTCGAAACGAGAAATATTTTGTTGAAATTCAACTTCTAAATGTTGAAAAATATAAGAAAAATACTTTATGTAGGTAGGATTGTTAAAAGAATGAAACAGTTGTTTTGTTTTTCTCGCGCCTGTAAAATGTGTCTTCTTGATAGTGGTTAGGCACCGGACTCTTGATAGTGGTTAGGCACCGGACTCGTAATCGTGGGGTCGCGGGTTCGGGGGTTCGAGGTTCGGCCCCGACGTTGTGTCCTTGGGAAAGCCACTTTATGCATGAATTTTCCTCACTTCACCCAGGTAGGAATGGGTACCCGGCCTTAGACAGCGAAAGATCTTGTCAGGATGTTAGTGTTTTAGTGCCTATAAATGGCTGCTTGCACTGTATGCTTCCCAGTAAGTTGAGGTTATTTCCGAATGCTCAGGTCTTCTGGGGTAAAAGTACATATTGTGAAGCACATAGAGCTTGTTGTTGAGCGGGGATTTTCTCAATACAAATGCTGTCTACTATTATTAATAATAATACATTTTGACGACCTTTCGACGGTATATAGTCTATACCTTTTGGCAGCCTGCACTCAATGGTAGTAAGGGATAGTGTAAACGATTTGTTCTGTGTCGCCTCCAGTGGAATGGACTCAACCAGAGACGGTATCAAGAGGTGGG